AAGTGAAACAAAAAACACGGGTGATTCCCCTTCCTTCGCCTGAAGCCACGGCATCACAAAACATCCTCGCGTCTCCAGATTTCAGATACGCCTCTGTGGCTGCAACCTTGGCGTCGTGCATGTGCCGCTTTGCGTTTCCAGTGGCTGATGCGTGGCTTTCGATAAGGACAGTAAATTTCAAAAGTGTGCCACAATCCGTTCTCTTCGTCGCGGCTGTCAGATCTTGTCCGCACGTCACAGAACAGTTGTGCAGGACGTCGATCGGCGACAGAGAAACCATTGCCGCCATGGCCATCCACTGCACCCTGTGCAAGAGGCAGAACAAGCAGCTGCTACGCCTCAGCAAAACCATCAGCAAGCTAAGTTGGAGCTCGCCCGCGTGCAATTTCAGATGGAACACGCCCCTCCCTGACCTTTATTTCTGATCCACCAAAATTCCACCCCCCTCTCTCACTGATTCCTTGCCGGGGGGGGCGGTTCGGTGCATCATTCTCTGACACATCATCCTCGCTGCAGCCGCTAGGACTCTAGGACCCGCCGCAACACCCATTCAACTGGTCGAGGCGTTTTGCCAGACCACCTCAGAATGGCTTTGTCGAATCCGTAATCTCAGGAATCCCTTCGGAGCCTCCACGGCAAATTGTGCGATACCGCCTGGCTGCTGGGCCTTCAGCAATGAAATATCTCATCTGCCTTGCTCAGAGGTACTACTCGGCGTGTCTTTCAGCAGCATTGCATTGCGAGTGCTATATACTGTAAGCCGGAAAGACCTCCAGATACGTTGCGGTTTGTTGGAAATGAATCGCTTCTCAAAGTCCAAGATGACACCGACAGACTCAAAGACAGAGACACGTTGTTGCTGAGTCCACGTCAATTGGGTTTCTTCTCGCGCACCTGAAGGGCACGGGGGATGAAGCTCCATGACAAATATGAGCAAGAGCTTCGTCGCAAAGAATAAAGCCCAGGACCAACCCTTACAAAGTCCCCTGAAAACAGGATAGACAGTCCATTCATCTTTGGCCGCGACACAGCGACGAGAGCTGGAGTCCTACAACGTGGTCTCTATCCATCCTGCAGCTCTCCACTCAGCGACGGTCATAGGCAGATCAATCCCGAACCATTCAGCAAGGTCCTCAATGAGGAAGTTGTAAAAGCAATCACAAACGTCCGCCTCCATCCCGAACCTCGCCGCGAGCTTTCCCGAAATAGGAGATTTAACCGACGGCCGGCTCAATGTGAGGTCCATATAGGCTCTCGGGGTGGCAGGTCGAGTAGACGGCGGTGTACGATGGGCTGCATTAACCCACCTTAGCGTCAATCACCACGTATCCATTCAGGCGTCTTCTTCTTGACGAAGAAGATACCCATCCTCTCGCGAATGCGCCTCCTGAAGCTGACAAGCCCAACGTTTGCATCAACTCAACTCTCTGCTTACGTGAGGCCCTGAGCTTGGGATCCCAACATGGAGTGAGGGGAATAGAAGGGCCAGAGGCCATCCACAACTCCGTTCCGTCCTGCTTAGCTCGATAAGTCTTGGGCTCCATCCAGAATCCGACGAGCAGCTGCAGGAAGCAAACCATGAAGCAGTTTAGGGCGAAGCTGAGCTTGCAGGATTTCGAGCTTGTTGATGTCAAAGGGTGCAAGTTTTTCGGGCTCCTCGTCGTTGTAGAGGGGACCCCCGCAAAAACGGCATTTGCACCCAACCAGCGCATCGGCAGTGGGAAGGGATCACTGTGTTGTCTGTACGGATGCAACATGTTGCCTCAGAAAAGATCGCGGGGTGCCCCTGAGGCCTGAAGGATCCCGGAATAAGAACGTTCAAGCTGGCGACGCGGCGGATGCTGTGCCACTGCTCACCTTAGCCTTAGCCTTGGGTCGCCTTCTGCGTGGTGGGAGACCGGCTGCTGGGTCTGTTGAGGTTGTAGATGCTTCACCTTTGTCGGCAGAACCCTTTATCATGTCCTCCCGATAAAGCCTCGTCTGCTTTTGTATGCTGGCCCGCTCTTTGAGTCTCTCCGTGAGCCATGTCGTTACAGGCTTGGCGTTGGCCTTACGCCAGCATCAGCAATCGGACTCTCCATCAGCATGTCAAGACCAGAGAAGTCGGGTGAGCCGGGTTTCCCCTCACTGCAATCTCATCTCTATCTGTACGATGCGTCTGGTGACATACTCAATTGGCATCAGATTTGAAACATCGAGCTGATCACGGCAGATTGATTTCCAGGCGTTCTTTGTGCTCACGTGCAGCAGAAGAGAATTGATTGACCTCTGAGCCCCTCAGCCATGGACGGTGATAACCTGTGACCACACCAACCCCAACCGTCGCGCGGGGCCCTTAAAGCCCCGATCCCCAGACTTTGACTCCCGCAGGAGCGGAAGAGCTTCCGTGAATGATACATACCGCTGTCCTTGCGGATCACGATGATCTCCACTCGTCCTGAGGTCACCGAGCGAGCCCTGAGACTTCTCCCTAGCGTCCTTGATCTCGCCCTGTTCAATGACATCTCCTCGACCAATGAGACCCCTCCATTGCACTCTAAGAGTCCACGATGGCCTAGAACCATCTTTGCATCCAGATGCTCGAGCTGCACGAGTTGTCCAACTTTCTCGGACATGGGATCGGCGAGAACCTCTACATGTGCCGCGATCGCTTGGGGGTCATCGCCTCCTAACAAACTTGCAGTCGCCTTTGTCCGTCGTCGGATCTCAAGCTCGTTCCTGGGGATCTCATCGAACGCATAGATCACTTGCAACAGATGCGCAGGGAGCGCATCGCGTCGCCCAAGTACTGTGTGTCGGCACATTCAAATCAGCTACCTGGATGTCACAGTCCGGCGTGAGTACTACCCACCGCCCTTGGGCAAGCTTGTGAAGAAGCATCCATTCGGGTCCACAGGATAGTTCACCAGGACTTGAGGGTCCGGGATATCCAAGATACGGTTGGCCACTTCACTGACTTAATCGCCTTCCTTTGCCCAAATCAGAACTCCGATCTCCCGTGGATGTTCTGGTAATGCGCCTACGGGGCTACCAAGCGAGATGGAGGCAGCCAGATCGCCACCGAAGTCTTCTGATGGATTTTCAGCAGACTGTTGCCGAGGCCGTATAGGCACGCTGCGTCCTAGAACAACAACCCAGGGTAGAATCAAGCAAAGACCAATCTCCTTGTCGAATGAATGCCTTCGGGCACCACTCTAACCAGCCGGTGTGTCTGTCGCAAGAATCGAGAATCTCAGTATACCCACTGGTAGGTGCGATGAATCCCAGCTTGGAGGAGCTGAAGGTCCTGTTCAAAGCCCTGGAGAGAGTGTGTCGGCTGCCAAATCCACCTGAGCAGCAAGTAAACGTGCAGATCAGACCATATCCATTGCCGCAGAGCATCCATGGGCCAACCATGTTAACGTCCAGATCAGACCATATCCATTGCCGCAGAGCATCCATGGGCCAACCATGTTAACGTCCAGATCAGACCATATCCAATGCCGCAGAGCATCCATGGACCAACCATGTTAACGTGCAGATCAGACCATATCCATTGCCGCAGAGCATCCATGGGCCAACCATCAGATCCATTGCCACAGAGCATCCATGGGCCAACCATGCTCACGTCCAGATCAGACCATATCCGTTTACGCAGAGCATCCATGGGCCAACCATGATCACGCCCAGATGGATGCCCAGATCAGACCATATCCATTGCCGCAGAGCATGCATAGGCCAACCATGCGAACGTCCAGATCAGACCATATCCATTGCCGCAGAGCATCCATGGGCCAACCATGTTAACGTCCAGATCAGACCATATCCATTGCCGCAGAGCATCCATGGGCCAACCATCAGATCCATTGCCGCAGAGCATCCATGGGCCAACCATCAGATCCATTGCCGCAGAGCATGCATAGGCCAACCATGTTAACGTCCAGATCAGACCATATCCATTGGCGCAGAGCATCCAGGGGCCAACCATGATAACGTCCACGTGGTTGCTGGCTGTTGCCGTCCTGTTGTTGCTGTCTGTTTCTGCCGTTTTCTTGCTGTTAGCCTTTGCCGTTGCATGTTGCTGGGGATTCGGGATAACAGATTCTGTTTCTGCCTACGTAAAAGCTTGTCTTTTCGATTTGAGGATTCCAGACTGCTGTCGATGCTGTTGTTGCTCGTACATGTTCTGTTGCTGCTAAAGCGATCGGACCCCATTTTTTACAGTTTCCGTGTTGTTCGCTTTTTGGCCATAAAACAAGTACATGCAATCCTGTGATGAGCAAAAACCCAAGCGAAAACGCATTTTGCTATTAATGTAGAACGCTGCCAACGTACTAGAATCGCACGGCGCCAAAAGACACTCATTTTTCAAGAGCCATTTTTCGCTGCTGTCAAAACAGTTTTTGCACGCAGGCAGTTTTGAAGAAAAAAACGTAAAACCGAAAATCGCGTTTTCAAAATGACCCTATTACCCGCCCCCCCCCCCCCCCCCCCCCCCGCACCCACCCTGCCAAATCCAACTTTGCCGGTGGGAGCGACGCTTTCGCTGTCTAAACCCACAAAAACCGTGGGATCCGTTACGCTGTCGTGACCTTGTTGTTGCTCTCGGTGGTGGTGTTGTGTGGTGTCAGCGTCCGTGTCTGTGTCCGTGTCCGTGGCTGTTGTTGGTGATGCTGCGGTTGTTGTTGATGATGTTGTGGTTGTTGCTGTAGTTGTTGTTGACGTAGATGTTGCTGTCGTTGCTGTTGTTGTTGCTGCTGTGATTGTACGACGATGGCTTAAGCAGTCCGCTTTGAGTAGGGAGATTTTTTGGCCCAACCATGATGATGTCAAAGCTGTTTTGAGTGGACCGCATCCATGCCCTCACCATCATGGTTAAGCCTTCATCCCTCACGTCCTTCGCGTCCCGCCCGTGTCCCCCATGCATGTCCCGCTCGGCATGGCATGCTCGTCCCACTGCGCGTCCACCGCGTGCCTCGCGTCCCGCGCTGAGCCCACAATCTCAGCGCAGACGTGGCCGCCTCTCCAAGTGGCACGGCTGCGGGCAGTCCCTTCACAGAACCTCAGAAGGATGACATCCTCGCGTGGAATCTGCACTTTGTGTCTGAGGTCCCAGAGGCTCTCCGGAAGTCACAAGCAGGAAGCTTTCTCTGCCATCGCTTTCGGCCTTCATTTCGCTTTGGGCCAGCACTGCACTTCACAGAGCGGCCTCCGGCCTCTGTGGGCGTGGCCTGCGCATGTGAGGAGCGATAGATTCAGAAAAAGACAAGGAGCGAATGCAGCGGTCGTCTAGACGACGGTCGCTTTCGCCTCGTCGGAGCTCTCGCCCTGTCAAAGCTCGGCCAAGCCGGAGAGCAACAGCAGCCCAAAAAGCCCCCCGCTAACGCCCCCGCCGCCCCCGCCGCCCCTGCCGCCCCCGCCTCCATCGCCGTCGCCAGCCGCTCCCGCGGCCGTGAGCCGAGAGCTGCGGAGACACCAAGACGCACTGGAATCCCGTATTCCGTGCCACTCAAAAGGTGCCCAGAGCCCGGGGTCGCTGCTGCTCTGCTCGAGGCAGTCGCGAGAGTGATTCACCTCTAAATCTGCCACATGCCACTTCCTCTTCCGCAGGGCCGGGCCCGGAGGCCCGGGGCGGCCGGGGCCCCGGCGAGGAAGGGAGCGGCGTTAGCGGGTGTGGCTCTCAGGAGACGAAGCGCGGACCTCAGAATGCGGAGTGGAGCTAAGCGTGGGGAGAGCTGGGCCTCGCATTTTCTCTGAGGTCCGGGCCCGTAGCTCTTCCACTCCAAGCCACGCGCAGGTCTGCTCAGGAGCGAAGCCCGCGCAGACGCCTCCCTCAGAAAACTCGGGTGAGAGTTTCGAATACTTCGGTTCTGGAGCGTGAGCTTGTTTGCGAGGTCTCTTCCCACAGACATCCACACAGATAGAGCGTCGCCGAGACCCTTCACTTGAAACATGCCATCTAGCAAGACATCTGGACAGGACAGTGATGGATGTAGGCTGTGTTTGCGAACAGCCGTGGGCGCCAAACTGCGCGCGAAGAGTCGAAAAGCGAAAAGACAAAAAGTTGTTCAAAATCAAGCTTTGTCCGAGAAACTCGAAAAGTCGAACTGCCGCTAACAGTGGAGAAGTATAGCAAAACACGAAAAGTCGAAAAGCTGCGAGAAGTCGAAAAGTACGGCAAAACGTTAACAGTCGAACCGCCGAAAAGATACCGCAGCAGAATCCGAAAATCAACAATTGGTACACATCTGAAGCATCTTGGCACAGCTTTGGTCTATAGAGAGCCAAAGGGAGATGTAGGACCTAGGATGATGTAAAGCCTTCGAGTACTGGGGGAAGTGTCCTGGCCTTGGGGCATATTGAGATTGAAACCTTGTCAAATCAAAGCACCGGAAAGGATGTCCGTCTTCACCACGTGTGCGAGGGGTCCATGGCACAGGGAAGCCGATGATGTGGAAGGTTATGCAAAATTTGCACATTCTGTGCGTGTAAACAAAACTAGAAATGCGATTATACGTACATGTACATGTATATACATGTATCTGAGCCAATAAAGAATTACCAAGCACATAAATTCAAATACATACTTATATACATACCCACATATGTAAAGGTATGCATGTAGGTCTGCATGTATATATGGGCTACTGTCTAAATGACTTTGCCTGAACGTGGCCGAAATGGTGTGTACCTTCGGGCCCCGCCTCGTTTGGAAGAGAAACGTACTGGTTAGCTCAACCGTACTGTCAAGATCTGATAAATGATGAAGCATGGGAAAAGTGCACTAGCGCAGACAAATATGGGAGTCTTCTGCAGCACCGAATATATGAAGGGTCTAAACCGGAACACATGAAGAGAGTTGGAATATGCACCAAGTTATGAACGCAGAAACATGGCATCCACAGCACGGAGTTCATGTCTGCTACTTTGTTCTTCGGTGGAAACATTGAGGCATGCTGTTTCGGTTGTATCAGTGTCGATTGCATCAGCATAGCCACTCCCCATCCCGTCGGTTGGTGTTGCAAACAAAGACCAATGATGCTTTAACTTGGTGGGCCGTCATAAATCCGTTGCGCTTTTTTATTCAAGGCATAAACGCGGCTACCTGATGAACCGAGCCACTTGTGGACCCTTAGGTCATGTTCTTCAACAACCATGAGTTGCTGGAAGCCTGGGGCTGCGAAAACGTGTGATGAACCCAGGTTTCCGTCACCGCTTGAAGGTTTTGAGGGCAGAGACAGGTTGTCTCGGTAGTTCGGTGGAATCTGCGCCGCGGGAAGCATCGGCTTGAAGATCCGCTTAGTAGGCTATGTTTTTCCGACCCATTGGATTCTGAACTGGAAAGTACGAGACCTTACAACATTCAAAACGCTGGCTTCCGAAATTGCGGTACCACCGCTAAGTCTCACCGGTTTCGCTGTAGTCTTCCATGACACAGGACTGGGCAACTAGTGGTAAGCAGCAAAGTTGGCAATATTTCACTAGCGCCGAACTAGCGCCCAGCTAGCGCCAAATGCGACCTACAAAACATGAAATAATCAGTTTAAAACATCAATCGCACGACGCTGCTCAAAAGGTTTGCAAACCAACATACGGTTGAAGACATTTGTGGTTACGGAATGTCGTCGGGCATTCAGTCCAGAATCCAGCTTGTGGCTACGGCCTTTGGGGTCGGAAAGACATAGCCCACTACGCGCATCTTCAAGCCAATACTTCCCGCAGCGCAGATGCCAGAGAACTACTTGAGACAACCTCTTTCTACCCTCAAGAACCTCAAGCGGTGACAGAAACCTGGGCTCCTCGGACATCTTCGCGCCCCCAGGCTTCCGGGACCTCATGGTTATTGAGGAACATGACCTAAGGGTCCACAAATGGCTCGGTTCATCACGTAGCTGAATGAGTCTAACGACTGCAAGGTCTCTAACTTGCGTATGCCTATCAAAAAGCGCAAAGAATCCGAGTGATAAGATGGAAGCATGACGTTTTGGACATGACGGCCCACCAAGTTAAAGCATCATTGGTCTTTGTTCGCAACACCAACCGACAGGATGGGGAGTGGCTATGCTGATGCAATCGACACTGATACAACCGAAACAGCATGCCTCAATATTTCAACCGAAGAACCCAGTAGCAGACATGAACTCCGTGCCGTGGATGCCACGTTGCTGCCTGTTCAGCTCCGCAAGTGCAGATACGACAGAATTCGGCACTGTCAACTGGAGCCCGCATAAGGCTGCTATATCTCATCCACCAAATCACAAAGCACTCCAACATACAGACAGACAGACATACATATATACCTGTGTATAAATATGTAACAATATGTATATAAACTAATACAAACCCGCACACTCCATGAGGACATACCTTGTTGCTCTAGCGCCAAACTATCGCTAATCTAGCGCCAACATGGGGATTAACTAGCCCTAGTTCGGGCCGAAGAGTAAAAAACAAGCTCCAAAGATCATTATGGCCACCCTACTTTCCACTCTTCAACCGCGCTTAAAGACAACCTCCCGTATGTGAATACACATATGTGCACCACTGTTAAGCCCTAAACTCCAGACACCTGTGGCGACATGTATAACATCCTCGCAGTAAATGCCACCCTAAACCGCAAACCCTCAACCCTGAAACCGCAACCCCCCTCGCACGAAGGCCCGAACGAGCTCACGACACTTGAAACTAAAACTGACTTTAAGAATGATCGTGTGACTGCCGAGTCAGCTAGTGCCCAGACAAAAACTTGTGCAGGCAAAACATTGAGAAGGCAAGACAAAACACGAAAAGTCAAAAACGTGCGAAAAATCCCGAAACGAACAGTAAAGGTCCCAAAGTCCGAAAAGTACAAAAAACCCAACACTCCAAACGTCGAAACGCCCAAAATGTCCGAAAATCGAAAAGTGCAAGACAACGCGCACAGTAGAAAAGCCAACACATCCGAAAAAGTAGAACACCCGAAAGTCGAAAAGCCCAACAAGTCCGAAAAGTGCAGGAAAACCCGAACAGTTGAAACGTCGAACACTGTTGGACTTTTGGAGTTTTCGAATCTCATTTCGGTTCTTCGCTTGTGGAAACCAACGCCGAGATTGTCGAGCCTCGACCCATCACTCGTGAGATGGCACAAAGATGCACAAAGCTTGTGCTGACATTGAAGACTGTTAAGACTGCTCTGGTGGGGTATGTTATAAGCGAGGGGGAGCGTGGAGCCGTGGAGCACGTATAACGGGGAACTCTCCATATTTTTTCTCCGCAGCGCAGCCCAGCGCTCGGGCGCGTCCTTCGTCCCAGGCCTCGCGCGCAAGGCTCGCGCAAAGCAAAGCAAAGCTCGGGCGCTCGGCTCTGCTCGGCTCTGAGACTTCTGAGCTGTGGTTTGGCGTGGCCTCGAAGCAGGTTCGCCACGTGAAGGCCCTGCAGAAGTAACCTCAGGCTTAGGCTTACGGCTTCGAATGAGCTTATAGACTCTGCTAGGCTTTTTTGGAAACTTTATGCAGGTGCCGTTTAAAGCGGCGCATAAAGCGGCTTATAAGGTGCATGAGTCATGACTCATGACGTATCTTATACAGTCCGGGCCGGGAGCGTTGGGGGTCCGCTTGGAGCTCGGGGTGCAGCTGCCGCAGCGTCAGCACCCAGCGCTCCTAGCCGAGGAGAGCCGAGGGCCGAGGGCCGAGAGCGAAGCGAGCGAAGCGACGAAGCTGACACATAGGATGCTGCGGCGCGATTTGCGCTCCTCCTTCCCCTCGTGCCAGACCTGGCCACTCAAGAGGAGAGGCTGAGAGGGCCGAGATGGCCGAGACGCGACGCGACTGGCGGCAGCGACTGCTGAGGCGCCCCCGCCCGGTGGTCGGAGCCGTCATCGAAGGCAAGCACCTCGCCGTCCTCGAACGCCTTCACCTCGCCTGCCACCTCTAAACAGGACAGAACTGCAGCCCCTGCAACGGCGCTTCACTTCCACTGATTCCAACCTCGCAGAAGGAACCGCTGCAGCCCACAAGACCTCTCAAAGACGAAAAACAAACACCCCTGGAACTGCGAGCTTCGAGTCTGCTCTGGCTCTCGGAGCTCTCACCGAGCGAGAGGTTCACGGGCACGTTGCTGCCACCGTTGTGCCTCGGCGGCGAGCCCTGCAGGGGCCCTGCATGTCCTCAAAGTCTGGGGTGCCGGCAAGCGCACCTCAGCACCACTTTATGCCGATAATTCGGAGAACTTCGCAATAAGCCGGGGGCCATGCGCGGCTCCCTGGAGACAGGAGGAAGACCTCAGGAGCCGACCATTCGCATGCTTTGCGGCCTGGATCTCCTTGCTCGGCTGAGTCTAGGACGACTACTTCCTGCCAGGAGGCGGGGATCACTTGCAAACTGCGATTTCCGGTCGGAGACCCTCTTCCCAGGCGTTTTCCACGCTGCGGCATTCCCGCGCAGGAGCTCGATTTGCGAGGCGACAGGATACGCAGCGACGCAGGTCACATGGAAGCAAATCAAGAAGAAGCCAAGACCGCCAAGGAACCGTGAAACCTCAGACCACCCCACAGCCTCCGAGTTGTAGTGTATGTATGGCACCTCAGGAAGGTCCAGGCAGTTTTGGCGTAAAGCGTTCGAATTGCGGGCGCCAGGCATCTGTGCTTGGCAGGTGCCGCTGTAGCAGTGCTGCGGTGGACGGCATCAGCGCCTAAGTCGCCAAGTGCTTCGGATCGGTGGTGAAAGGGCCGTGCTGGACTGCCGTCGCCGAGTGCAGGGCACAAGCATCCTGACACACTCTGAGCATTTCTTGGCGTGGTTTTGGTTTTGCTGGATGGCTGACGCCTGGTTCCATCGCCGGCCCACATAGAGCTGCAACATGTCCTCAGTCTGTGGCTGCCGCAGCTGCCGCAGCTGCCCTAGAGAGTTTCCCTCTGAGCATGAAGCCCAAACTCCTGAGCCGCTGAAATGCTGCAATTGCGCTCAAACTTAATCGGAGCTCTGAAGCGCAGCCTGACTTCTCAAGCAGATTCGGATAGGCAGGAGCCTGGAGACCAAACACCTCAGCAGAGCAGAGAAGAGGAGAGGCTCGCAGCCGCGCAGCTCGCAGCCGCTCTCGCGTCAGAGTCGCGCCAGCCCTCCCCTCCCCTCTCTGCCCGGCCGCGGCCCGGGGAGTCCCAGCCCGGCGCTTTGTGCTTTTGCGATTTCTGCGTCCGCAGGTACGCCAGCAACTCCTCGTTTCAAAAGCCGACGGGCCGGGACGCGTCAGCGCGCCTCTTTGGCCAAAGCTCTTCCCCCTTGCAGCAGCTCAGCGCCTGCTGGATGGTGGGGAAATGATCCTGCCAAGCTGAGAGTGTCACGAACGAGGGCCATTCCCAGGCCAGTGGGGGAATTTGCCGAGCTTTCAGTAAATAAGGCTCACAGCAGATTCTCTCCCAAATGAGCCGAAGGGAGTTTTGGATGAGGGGAGGGCAAAGTAGGGCCGGGGAACAGGGAGGAGGAGGGCTGGTCCGGAAACTTACTGTATATATTGCAATAGCGATCATACCAAGCTGCAGGTCTACACATGCACAACTATTTCCCACCATCTGGTCAGGTGGGTATCCAAAGCACTGCTATCCTTGTCTAAAACCCACTGTATGGCCCGACAGAGACTTTGATGGGCTGAGCCAAGACGGTGGGCTCTGTGGGGATGAATTTATGGAGGGGCATTATGATAGGCGGAGAAACCGTCCTTGAGCATCTCTGCGAGAGGCAGCTGCTTGGGATCCCAGAAGGGCCGATGCGTCAAGCCCTGCAGCATGGCAGGTGCATGGCAAAAGCTGCGATGGAAAGCCCTTGCAAAAAGCTGCTTAGCGGCTTAGCTTCGAGCGCTGATGTGAACTGCCGGTGTTTGCTGAAGGCTGTCCCAGGTGATAGGGCGCTGCCCTTGGCAGGTGACTTCTCGCGCTTCCTCGAAAAGCTCAGAGGCAGCCTCCGAGAAGCGCCGCCCAAGCCCAAGCAGTACCGGAGGGCATCGTGCACTGTGCACCTGTGTCTCGCCGGCAGCCTTGAGGATCATCAACGCGTTGGCGAAGTGGTAAGGCCTTGGCTTAAGCTGCGATTCTGCGAGATGTGCGCAGGGCGACCGCACATGGGAACGGGCTCCGGACGTCGCTCGCTCCTCGAATTCGCTGCGGCTCTGGAACTCCTGCTCCGGACGCCGAGCCCTGGGCCGGGGGATTTGGGGGGGCTTCCCCGCGTCCTCGAGGCAGCCGGGAGACAAAGCGATCTTCCGCATGTACCTGCGACAAAAGCAAGGCTGTGGAAGAAGGTGCCCAGCCCTGCCAAGCCTGGCGGTGAGCTTGGGCAGCTGGTAGAAGAGCCTTGGCCCTACGGCGCTGGTCAACACGTGGTGCAAAAACTCCGCATCCTCCGAGGCCTCGCGAGGCGCTTCAGTGTGTGGCTTCTGGGTGTAACGTTCTGCGGCTGACACAGAAGTTCAGAAGGCTCCTTCACCAAAAGATCCGATCTCTTTTTGTCGACTTCACTCTCAAGGCTTTGCAGCCACCGCGACAGCTCTTCGAAACCACCGCATCGAGCCTTAGCTCCGGAACTCGCCGAGCTCAAGTGGGCCATCTCTGACTCTCGCAACCGCCACTTCCACGCAACCGCGCGCTGGTCTGCGCCGTCGAAAGGCATTCTCTTCAGATGGGTGGCACGATCTTCCGATATTCTTCGAGCTATTAACAGCAATTCACCCGGAAGCCTGCGACCTGGTTCAGGTTGATTTCGTGCTTCCTTCACTGCATGAAACGACGATTGCACAGCCCCATCCATGCTTCGGAACGATCTTTCACCGCGCGGCCCTGGTGCTGCTGCAGCAGCTGCTGCCGCTTTCTCCCTCTTTTTGTTCCGGCCGCTTAACTTCGCATCCCCCGCTTCAGCTCCAGCTCCAGCTCCCCACCCGGCCCCACGGGCTCCGCGCTGAGGCTCCGGCCATGGTGCTGGGCCGGTGCCCATCCCGGTCACAGCGCAGCTGCTCCGGACCCAACCCTCCCCCCCCGCCTTCGCCGCCCTCCTCGCAGAGTGGACTCTTACTATAGTGCCCCTAGTAGTGCCCCTCTCCTCTCAACTCTCAACTCTCAACTCTCATGCTGAACACGCGCCTCAGTAGCTCGCAAGAGCCAGCGGCAGCAATCTGCGGTTTGCAAGCAGAAGGTATACAACGCCAGTGGCCCAATGCTAAAACCACCCATGGGCCGCACAAAGGAATCTGCTTCCCAACGCCCACGCCCCCATGCAAGAGCACCCCCCCTGAGCTGCTTGCCGAAACCGCCTTTCACCTGCCGGCAGTCGCAAAGTCGCGCGCGACGTTCCGCAAGGACCAACAAGGCCCAAGGAGGATCAGCTCCGGGCCGCCGCTTTGTGCAGGGCGGAGTGGCCGTTCAGGTTCAGCACCTTCAGATCCAAGCCTCCAAGCTTGCAGAGCGGAGACTCCTCCTAAAACGCACGGCGGCGCCCCTTTCTTCGGCGCCCGCCTTCGCGCTGCAACCAGCGGCACATCTTCACAGATCCTGCGAGGGCCGCCCACTGCGATGCGTTGCAGCCATACCTGAGAAACTGTCTGATTGACTTTGTCTCCGCAACCCTTCAAGCACCGGCCGGGCCCCATCCCTGATCTCTGCCCATCTCAGTCAGAGCTCTTGTTCTTGGCGTGTAGATTGGCCCGTGCCTGCTGAGCATTGCAGAGCAGTGGGCCATAGGCCACAGGCGAAGAATGCTCCAGAAGCCCTGGCACTGGCCTCGAGGAGCCAAGAGCACACCTCCTGGAAAGCAACACAACAACAACAGCCTTTTTGTGCTACCACGGCAGCTACACTCATGGCTGTCAAAATCTGCAATGCAGATCTCCTCGTGCTCCTGCCAAACAGCCCAATGCAGCCTGGCAGATTTGCAGAGAAGACTTTCTAGACTCGGCCAGGATATAGGCCTGGGATTTTCTCGGCTTCGGATAGACGCGTTAAAGGGTGTTCTAAGGCTCCGACGGCACCGTCCCATCCCGCGTCGGGTCGTCAGGCTGGAGTCCACAAACCTTCCGCGGGCAACACCGCGGCGCGGAGGAGTCGGCACAGGCTCGGCTTTTCACGCGGAGTCTGACTTTCCGAGTCCCGGCCCCGGAGCCTCGACCAGCCAGCGACACACACCTCAAGGGCTCACAAGGCTCTCTGAGACTTGTACGGGGAAACACCGCCATGTAGCTGGGGCGCTGGCTCAGGTGGCCGTTGCGTGCAGCCTAGAGTCTATAGAGAGACCATGGAAAAACAGGACGAAGGACGAGTACTCAGTGTCTCAGGCACCCTCCCAGTGCAGCGCCTGGCACGGCGCAAACGCCTTCTCGTAGAATTGCAAGCGAGAGCTCTGAGGGCTCTGCCGTGCGGTGATCCTTCTGCTGAGACATAGGATCCAGGCCCTGCGCAGCTCTGGCGTCTGCTGGCAGGGCTGGCAGGGCTTCATGGCCACGACACTTAATGGAGTCTTGCCAAACTTCACGTCTGGCTAGGAGATGGGCTGTGCCTCAGCCACCAGAAGCTGGCAAGTCTCCAAGTGGCCCCCACCTGCACACCAACCAACCATATAAGCGCACGCATCGCAGCGAACTCCGCCTGCTGCCCAGAGCAGCGCGTTGGAGCCGTGCGGGTCCCGCGTCTCCAGGTCCCAGGCCCGGGGCCCAGAGCCGCGGAGCAGCGCCTTCAAAGCCTCGACGTCCCCGGCCGCCGCGAGACCTCGGCCGCGGTCTTTCACACGGCCTTTGCTCTTTGCTCTAGAGCAGGACTCCAGGAACCGCGCGCAGGCCTTCGTCCAAAGGGACTCGAGGGCCGCCTCCTGAGGCTACAGGCAACTCTTGGCTTGCAAACTGTCTTTGGCATCTCTGCAAATGCCCGGCCATGCCAATGCCCAATGCCCGGTCCTTTGCTGGGGGTCTTTGGTGGTGACGCCACAGGTGTTCGCAGCGGAACAAGTTGCAGCCTGCTCCAATGGACCACATCCAAAGCCTCCGTCACGGCCTGGGAAGCATCTTCCAGAAGCAGATCTCGCATTCTGTCGCAGAGACGGCCTTGCTGTGCTTGCTGCGCTGGTGGTCCTGCACGTCTGAATACCAGCACTCGCCACTCGCATGACCGTGTAAGAGCCGTCGTGCTCCAGACCCGAATCGCGAAAACCCGGTGTGCCGGCCTAGACTTGTCTGTGTGCTTTACATGCTTTACATCTTTACATGTACCGCCAGTCTCCGTGACACTTGCGTTGCCCCGGTCTTCTCATGTAGCTCGGTGACCTGGGATCTTATATATATATATATATATATATATATATATAATATTGATATATTGGGCTCACTTATTCTACAAACTTGCGCAGGAGTTTACGGATCAAGCCAGTTTCGGCCCGTTCATGCACACCAAATACGCAGTCGTTTGACGATTCACGAAAGTATATTCTGATAACACGACAGAGCATATCACAGTACATGGTAATCACATGTTCACGAACCCTGGAACACATCATTGCACGTTGGTATTCGAGAGCTATACGTATTGCATAACATGTTCCACGATTCAGCCAGCGATACAATAATACATGCACCTCAACACTTTTTGCAATTCGATGGAAGGCGCCCCGGCACGTGTACACTTTACCTTTGACCACGTTCAGAAATAAAGCACAGATGTACACATCCTATTTTTCTTGCACACCTCGGGGGGAGCATCGGCGGCCGCAGGGCAGGGCAGGGCACGGCCGCAAAGCCCACCCAATACGTTGATTGGGCAAAGGGGTGTGAAAAACGCTCACCCCTCTTCCTTTCTCCCTCTTCCTTTCTCGCTCCGCTCTGTCTCTCAAGCTGGCTGTGCGAGCTGGGAGCGGAGGCTCGGGCCTGGAGACCCCGCTCGCCCACGAAGAACTCGCCGCAATCAGGACATAGGAGCTGTCCTCTGACTGTGCGCTCTCACTCTCACTCTGCATTTAAGGCGGTCTGCGCTCTGCGCTCCTTGCGCTTGCTGCCAGGCCATCTGCTCCTGAGGCAAAGTTACAGGGGGGGGGTCCAATCGCTGAGTCTCACCGTTCCCTTCCTTTGTCAAGAACAGCATCTCACCGGCTCCGTTGACCCGAGCCTCAGTCGCCACGCAAGCCTTGCAAACCCTAAATCTGCACCAGCCTCTTTAGCTTCAAGGGCCCTGTGAGCCACAGTCCAAGGATCACTTGGATGTCCAAGCGATAAGCCAAGCATTCAGAAGCCGGTCTGAGCCGGCGGGCCCTGTGGGCCCTGTGCGGGGCCCTGGCATGGGCCAAGAGGGCCGAGGCCGTCTCCGGCAAGTGCCTCTGCAGACCACCACGGAACCCCCCCACTGATTGCAGCACTGCAGACCGGCCAAAATCAGGGGACGCCACTATGTTGTTTTAGAGAGAGACTGTAAGATTGCAAGGGATCGTGGTGTGCTTGTCTGCAAGTTTGCCGCAATCTTTCATACGAGAGGGCTGGACTGGTGCAATGCTGTGCGCGGTTGCGTGATCGAAAGCACTGACAGCACACGGCACGAGCTCATCTCGCAAGAACGTATACTGACGTATACTGCATTCTGCATGGAAGAGTTAAAAACGGTCCTTTTGGTTCCTTTGGAACTCGGCCGAGTCTCTGCTCTCTTCTCTCGCTGTCCCGGGACAGATGCAATCTCTGCTGGGTTGCGGGCTCCAGAAGAACCTCTGCCTCACACACTTTCAGCATGTTTAAGAACCGCTGGTGGTACAAGAAGTGGGTAACGGAATTCGAGCAGAATGCTCAAAGATGATCTCAAAATCAAAACCTCGTACGCAGAGCGAACACCGTGTCCGCAGATAAAAGCCCGCTAACTGGACGACAGGAACATGTTTCTCAAATAGTAGCGGCAGGAACACACAGGGGGAACGAAGTCACGAAAGCTCGTACAGAAACGCAATTCAACATGCAAGTTTACATGTATGGATAAACTAAGCCGCAACCGAACAACACACATCGGAAACATGCATGTGCATCTAGATGTACGCGTATGTGGGTGTCTGCACGTGTCTAGCCCACTGGCTCCGCCGCTCTAGGAGAAAGCCTGTGATGGAACGCCGCCGGACCAACATACTGATTGATGCCAACTCAAACAATGTGCAGTGCACGACGCGACATTGACGTTAAGGGAGGGCGATGAAGTACAAGTACCAGATCACGCGCAGGAATCCTCGGCGACTGAGACAGTTTCGGCCTGTGTGGTTGTGCTGGAAGTGTGCTGAGTGTGCTGGCCGTGGCAAAGCACTTGCCAACAGCTCAGAGATGGGCATCAGAGTCACACGAGGTGGTCCTATGACGCCGGGGGCGGGGCGGCGCAGCAAAACAACCTCGAGGATTGGTCGCCAGCTACATGGCGACCGAAATGGAGAAGCTTAGAGGCTTAGAGGCGTAGTCCAGTCTTTTCATGCTGTGGCATCGAGCTGGCGGACGAAGACGAGGCTTCGCAGAGAGCCGGAGAGCCATTGCAAATTGCCATCCTCAGAACAGGTGCAGCGAGTCCGCGTGCGCGCGACGCGGAGGCTCTGGGGCCGGGAAGCTGGGGGAAGCGGCTCCCCGAGGCGATGCGAGGCGGGTCCCGTTCGGCGGGGGCACGGCCCCGATGGCCCTTGGGGGCAGAAAAGAGCCAAGCCACCACTGCCACCACTACCAGATCCCCCGTCACGGGGTGGTGCGTCGCAGAGCGTCTGTGCAGCGACGCATCACTCTTGCAGTAGACTGTGGCTATATTGGTGCGTGAGATCAGTTCCTGTCAGGAGCTTGTTCGGGCAGAGGTTTTTGTCAGGAATTCTGAATCCTGGGAGCTTTTGAGTCTGCACAAGTCTCAGTCTTGGGGTGCGGAGCTGTGCGGCCTTGGCTCCGACCTTGCGGCTGTGCATATACATGTATAACATGGGTGTATGTAGATGATGTATAATCGTATGTAAACAACTTTCATGAATGGTTTCAAGTTGCAACACGAAGAGTTCCGTTAGCGTGGAGTCTAAACATTGCATGTGTGCGTCTGCACACGATGTCTATGGTGCAAGGAACTCGTTGATTCGAGGAGAAGAGAAAAAGATTGATAGAGACGATATTCACGTGCAGGTACATAGCTGACATAGTTGTTCATAATAGGACCAGACATCGACAGTACCGACGGGAAGCATGTCGATCTTCGAAGCAACACTGGTGAATTGCAGATCTTCGTCAGGAAACAGAAACCCAACCCTTGAGGAGGTTCGCCAAACTCAAACCAAGATCAAGGGAAGAGTTCCGATTCCAACCGTGGCAGCCGTGACCGATCCGTGGCAGCCTCCAGCTCCCTTTGGAGCCTTGGTCCCTGGCAAGGGCGGACGCGTCCTCGAACGTCCACCTCTTCGGCAGCCCGCCTAAGCACGGAGCGCGCGGACCGGCAAACGGAGACTCTGAAAACTCCTGCAACTGCTGCTGCTCCTGGAGGGGGGGTTCTGATTCTAAAAGAGCGCCGGCCTAACGCGGGGCAAGGGATCTCGTAGCTGATACTGCCAGCAGCTCCCCGGCGAAGCCTCCGTGAAAAAGCGCAGCGCTGGCCTCCTCCCTCTGCCCCGGAGCCCTCCCCGCTGGCGCCTGTGGAAGGCGGTCCGGGCCGCGCGGCAGCGGAAGCCGCCGAAGGCCCCCGCCGCGAAGCGCTGCACCCCTCGCGGTGCGAGCGCCGTGGAACGGGGGCTCAAAGAGAGAGAGCGAGGCACCGAGACGGAGAGACTTCGCGGGAGGGGAATGCCCATCAGCACGTGCCCTCAGTGCCGAGCTCTCCTTCGCCGGGCTCCAGGACCACGGCCGCCTGCCACGGCGCCACGTCCGCCCTTCAGAGCTTTCCTCAGCCCACGGCGCCTGCTCCGGCGGTAGAATCGCCTCGCACGCGGAGAGCAGCAGCTGATCCAGTCGGCGGCACACCTCCGCTTCCGCCTGTCAGGTTTCAGCTCTTCAGCTCGGCTGCCCTGCAGGGGCTTTCGAGACCTGGTGGAATGCAGACGTGCACCTCCGCTTCCGCCATGGCCAACAGCAGTGCACGCACACATTGCACGGATCTATGGCATTACGAGGTCTCGGAAAGATACTTTTTGAGTGGGTGACAGAGGGACGTTTATAAGGCTGCCCTGAGCTGCCGGGGGCTGGGCTTCGGCTCAAGCTGGGGCCAAAGCAACGCCAGCGGCGCGGGCATTCCACTCGCCGACTCCGTGTTGAAACTCTCAGCCGAGCTTCCGACCGCGAGCACCGCCTGCCAGCCGGGCGGCTGGGGCTGCCGAAATTGCGGCTTCGGAAAAAGCCAGGGGGACCTCCAAGTGAGGCACGGCCTTCTGCAGCGCCTGCAAAGAGAGCGCGGCGCGCGCTTTTCCGACTGACCACTGAGCTTTTGTATAGGCGTATAGGCTTTTTTTGGCAGAGCCGCGGCCTCCGCCTCCGCCTCCTCCGCCTGAGCCTCTGCCTGGCGGCAGTAGAGCGCCGCGGCTCTCAGGCGCTCTCGGAGCTTCGTCGGATCCTCAGAGCTCTGCGTCCAAAAAGTGCGTCGCTCGTCTCTCAGCCTGGGGTCCTTTGCCTGGCGAATCCGCCGCTCGAGCGCGCCCAAGCGCAGCTCCTCTGGGCGGCCAGAGCAAGGACAGACGGACTCTGCATGGAGTCGCGAGATGCCACATCGCGGCGACGGCCTGCGCCCAGCGTTGCACGCCACGAAGCACCTTCGGGCAACATGAGTCGAATGAGCCGGCTGCCCGATTCAAGGCCGGCGCCTGCATGGCCATTTCGGGATCCAGCGGCTTGGGTGGACATGCGCTGCTACGGAGTTCTATATAGGATTGCTGCAGTCAGGGCCTGAAATTCCTCGTCGAGTCGTCACGGTATGAGAAAAAATTGCTCATAAAGCTGCAGTGTTCTCAGAGCAGCGCAAAGGTGTCGTGACAGTGTCCGTGCCTGAGCCCGAGCCCGCGACGTCTCGCCGAGCCATCTGCTCAGCTGTAGCCGCTCCTCGGGATGTGCGAGCTCCCGCTTGCGAGCCGAAGCCCAGGGCCTCAAAAAGAAAAAGGGGACGGCGGCGACAAGGTAGAAAGCGGCCCCTGGCCCACAGCGGCCCACGCCTCTGCCGCTCCAGGCTGCGAGCAAAACTCCGCGGCTTTCGAGTTCTGGGTGACCTCTCAAGAAACCAAGGACGAGACACGCGGCGGCGTGGCGGGGCCCTGAAGGGCCCTGGCTGCAGATTGCCCGCCGCCGCGTCCTCTTCCTGCTGACTGCACCAAAAAACAGCTGCCTTTGAGGCTTTTCTCTGAATCGCCCTTCCGGTCCTTTGGCTCCCAGTGCAGCCACTGCAAGTCCTGGTGCGACAGAGACCAGTCCATGGCACTTCGAGCCAATAGGGGCAGTCGGCAAAGAAGCGAAGGGAGATCTGGTGAGTGCAGCGCAGTGGCAGCGAACTTGAACCCTGAAACCAAAGCCCCTAAACAGCTAATCCCAAAGCCCCTAAACCCCTGAACCCTGAACCCCAAAGCACTTTAAATCCCTAAACTTCAACGCCCAACACACAAGCCCTAAACCCATGAAAGTGTCCTCAAACTTACAGTTTGCAATACAAAAATACATCAATTCAAGCATGGACCTTGGTTGGCGCTACACGCGTATAGCGTCCAGGAAGTTTATAGAGTGTACAATACAAAAACTTAAAAATTTAAGGGCGGATGTTGGCAGTATGAACTTTTTGTGTGGTGGAATCTACAAAAACCTACAATACTAAAGGGCGGACGTTGGCGTTACAAGCTTATAGTGCCCTTCAAGCTTACAAAGTCTACAAGCAAAGATACAAGAGAATGAGGGCGGTCGTTGGCGATGAAAACTTATGGTGGTGTGCTGAAAATTTCACTTGTCAACAATGCAACGATACAGAAAGTTAAGGGCGCTACAAACAAACAGGGTCCTGAAAAGCTTACCAAGTCTGCAACACAAAGATACAGCAATTTGAAGGAAGGACGTTGAGTTTTATACTGTCCCTAAAGTTAACAAAATCTACAACACAAATACAACAATCTAAGGGTGGACGTTGGCGCTGCCCATTGTAGTGTCCCGGAGCTTACAAAGTCTACAACTCAAAAATGTTGAACAACATGAGTGGGCGTAGGGCATCTAAACTGAAACTGTCACTAGAGTTTACGCAGCCTATGCAAAAAATCAAGGGGTGGGCGTTGGCAAGCTTATACTGTCTTTATAAAGATTACAAAGTCCACAATACAAAGATACAAAGATCTAAGGGTGGACGCTGGCGTTTCGATCTTACCATCTCCTTAAAGCTTACAAACTCTACGACACAAACATGCAGAAACTTCAGGGGACATTGGCATTACAAACTTATAGTGTCTCTAAAGTATACAAAGCCTACAACACAAAGATACATAAGTCCGAGGGTGGACATTGGCGATACAAGGTTTGCATTACAAAAGGAGACACAAGTGTTCTAGCAAGGAACAGCAACAAGTACAGCGAACGCACTTGTTTTCCTTGAGCCAAATGTTCGGTTGATAAGTCTTCGTCTTCGTTCTGTCCTAACTTGGTACCTGCTGCTACACTAGGAAACATGTCCCGGGAACGTGTTTTCCTAGCTCCCCCCTTTAGGACACGTTCGAATGCTTCTACGAGCCTGTACAGATGCTGATATGTACAACAGTCTACGGCTGCTTGAGCTTAAAACCTAGTCCTTGTAGCAAGTGGCCGTCATCAGGACTGATGTTGGTCGAGTCTCTGGTTGTGAATGCAACTGCAGTGAACCTAGGATTGCTGGTGGAAACAGATACATGCCAACGCCTTGGATCGAACCTTGCAGGACTCTGAAGGAAGAATCCTCGTAAGCGAACGCCTGGTGCTGGGCAAGGGGAGTCTCCATCAGGATCCCCAACCCACAACAGCGGTTCTGTGCACGGCGTTAGACTCACAAGTAGGTTCCTAGAGCCAGGTGCGTTGTGCGAATCCTTATGTAACGGTGTCATTGCACCTGCTTGCACGATTACGGTGGTAAATACATGCGATGGCATCAGCTGTCCGAAAAACCTAGTGATAACGGCAGTCGCTTTGGGAAACAATGAGGTCATATTCCTTACACCAATGATGCCACCATGTACGAAAGCACCTGATGTGAAGGAATGAACGCCTTCTGCAACTGCAGCCCTTGCTGATTGCTCTTGCGGTAAGTACGACAGCAATTGCACGAGATGCTGTTTGTTCACGCGCTGTGGCAGGCTGGCAGCAAACGCTTCAGCACGCGCTACTGTGTCTGCTAATATAAAGAGGGCTTTCTCCTCTTTAGGAACAAGTTTAAGACCTAGTTGGACTAGCAGCATGACTGGCCATTCACAGGGGTTGATTACCTTAGTAAGGCCACTAGCTATCTGCTCCTTCGTGGGGCAGTAAGTCGCAACTACTGAGTCGTTATCAATTTGCTCCGACATCGAGGCGATGTTGATGCACTCTACCACAATGCCTCAACTTAGCGCTGTAACCGCTAGCAAGAATCGTAAGCAGGGTCTCGTTATCTTGATGGTATGTTGTTTTACAACAATAACCCAACAAGTACTGCATGAAAGTCTGAATGATTATTGCTTCTGAAAACATGGCAGTGCTCATGGCAATTGCCTCTGCCTCTGGCGTCGAGCGCGCTACGGAAGATTTGTAAAAGCACAAATCGTGCTTCGCTCTTTTGCTCCAAAAGGGCTTAACACGATCACACAATTCAGTCTGCTTGCCTCTGCCTTCTTAGCAATGGCACTGTACGCAAGGCTACAGGAAGGGCTCACAGGGGCTCGGGAGGATTTACACGCCTCCTGTGGAACTGCAGCTCGATGCGGCTCCACATTCAAATCATCTCTGGCCCCAGCTGTACTCCCAGTGATGCTGGAAGCAGTGCTTGCAGGGCACCCTTCCAGTCTGAATTGCCCTCCTGACCGTCACACGTGAGGTCCTGCGGGCACACTTGAGATCTCCACAGCCCTCCCTGTGGTAGGCGTAGCCATGGGAGGAAATCCAAACTAACTCAAGATACTCTTGCTCAGGCAGGAAATGCTTTGCATCTCGGAGGAATCTCCCTCGGATGTAGAGGCCACTGGAAGCGCTGCCAAAGGTGTGGTCGAAGAGCTCGCCCCGAGGTCGCTGCTCCCGAAGGCCGTGCCTCAACTCCAAGCGTTGGCAGTGCGTTCTCCGCCATCCAGTCTTGGATCCTCTGCACAACTTCCGGGTCGATCCTTGCTGGCTGCTCTGCCGCAGCCGGCTCAAGCCCTGTGCCACCCAGCTGTTGGCCGCAACCACCCTTCAAGCGTGTGAGTTCGAGCCAGCCGGCCCCAGCAAGCTCTTTGAGGACCTCGCTTCGCTGATCTACTTGGTTTGTGGGCTTGCTGGCCATGGCATGGTGGATGGGGCGACGCTCAAGGATGCCTGCGCAAGGCAGCACCCACCAACCAGAGCGAGCGCCCCCACACAAAGGACGAGGAAAGGGCAAACGGCCCAACCAGGGGGCGAGCACCAACGCCAACCAGGAGGCGAGCACCAACGGCAACCAGGAGGCGACCACCAACGAGGACCAGGAGGCGACCACCAACGAGGACCAGGAGGCGACCACCAACGGGAACCAGAGCGAGAGCACCGACGAGCCCGGACCAGCCGTACTACCACATCGTTGTTCCGATCTCCTTGTGCTGCTTGGCGTACCGTCGCCTCCCGGAACTCCCTCTGGCCCACGTGCTCCCCATTGTCGTGCACCAGGCCCACCAGGTAACATAGAAGGCGCAGCGCAAGAGGTCGGCAGGTGCCTCACTCTCCCGACACCAAGCCTTGAGGCTATTGCCCGTGCCACCGAAAATTCAGACCTCATGCTCAGGGTGGCCTCCCGCTGCACCAAAAACTCCCACGCCTTTTTGACCAAGATGCACTCCGAGGTGGTTTGCGTCAGCGCCACCAGCTCGGCTTCTCCGCTGCTCGGCGTCACCACCTTTTGTCCACGCACAAAGGAGTACGCGAGGGCTTCTTGGCCGATGAAGATCTGACCGATGACAGGCTCCGCCGGGTTGTTCGGTCATTCGCGAAGTTGCTGTCCGAAAAGCCCTCGCGATGAGGTGGCTGTGTTCTCCACCTCCTGGGCCTCCTTGGTGGTCGCCCGTCAGCTGCATCACTGACCGGCCTGGGTGGAGCTTTAGCTTTATGCCATACCCCTGGGTCTCCCAAAGGTAGCCCACCAGGTGCCGCAAAAGCTTGGCCACTCGCTCGGTTGGTGCCGACGCCTTGCCCGAGAGGTACTGTATGGCTGCTTGGCAGCGCCGACATGTAAAGAAGCTTCCCCAGCATATGGTCCTGTAGAGGGTCGCCTCGTCACGGATGTTGGGGAAAATGTGTCCTCCTCGGCCATCTCCACGCTCCACTTGTACTGCCGCGCCACCAAACGGGCTCGTCGGACCAGCCACGGGCCTTGTCAAACTTCCAGGTCTTCACGAAGACGGTGCTGAGACTGCCAGCTCCTCACTGCTCAAGCTTGGTGGGTCCTCGCTCGTCTCGGCTGTCTGCCGCCACCTCCGCCTCAATCCCTGCGCCGTGCTCGGCTCCACCGTCTCGACCATCCTGATCGAGCCTCCGCCGTCCTGTTAAAGAACGGGCTTCACTAAGGGTTCCTACCCACAAAGACTGTCGGACACTTTTGTTCCTGGGCACGGTGTGTCCTGGGGTCTCGAGCCTGCACGTCGCGTGTGCGTGACGGCTGTTCCTGTACATTAACTGTACT